ACACAGTAGTACTGTTACTGTTATCAGCTCAATCTAGTTTTGTGTGTATCACATACATTTTATGTTACTGATTTCTAATATTCATAATTTCTTTGGTTTGGTTGTTTTCCAAATATTGCTAGTGAAGCTTATACTGTCTTGTTATTTCCACATTTATTTTCTCCCTGTATTTTGGTCCATAAAGAACATGGGTTTAGCAGGGCTCGGTAGCTCAGCCTGTAATCCCACGCTTTGGGAGGCTGACGTGAGTGGATTGCCTGAGTCCGCGGGTTTGAGACCCGCCTGGGCAACTTGGCGAGACCTCATCTTTACAATAAATAGAAAATCAGCTGGGCGTGGTAGTGCGCACCTGTAGTTCCAGCTACTTGGAAGGCTGAGGCGGAACGACCACTGGTCTCTAGTCAGGGCGACAATGTGAGACTCCAACTCAAAAAAATAAAAATAAAAATAAAAGAACCTGGGTTTGACATCTATAGGTCCATGTTTTTTTAACAAATACACTGAATTTATTTATTTTTTTTACAATTTGTGGTTATTTAAAACTAGCAGAAAAACTGTACTTTAGAAATATACTTTACCAATTTATCATGAACACATCAATCTGTCATAGGCACAACAGAAAGAAGTATATTCTTGTCTAATTGGACATTTACTACCATAAAACATATACATATCTATCATACAAAGGTAAACTTATAATTTATGCTCTTACAGGGTATGCACGGCACCATCAGCAGTTGGGAAATGTGTAAATAAATGTAGAGATGAAATATTAACTCATAGCTGCATAAAATTAGCCATGACACAAAGTGTATCAGTCAATAATTTTTTGAAAACTTCCTGCTGTCAGGTGATTAATGCAAGTGTTGTGAGATTCTGTTCCACATACCATGTGATGTTAATGTTTCCACATAAGCACTTGGTCTCTTCAGAGTGAATCAAGGAAATTACAAAGAATCATTGTATTTATGGCAAAACAGTGGAAAGGAAAGTGTATCAAGATATAAATACTGAAGATATTCCACAGCGCAGAACCCACACCACTGGAGTTAGAGGCAGATGACTTAAGGTGACAAGTGCTTCCAACATAGTGCCAGATGACTCATGCCTATAATTCTTGCACTTTGGGAGGCAAAGTACAGCAGAACACTTTAGTCTAGGGCTTCCAGGCCAGCCTGAGCAACTTGGTGAGACCATGTGTTAACAATGAATCCAATAGTTGGCTGGGTATGATGGAAAATGTTTGTGGCACCAGCTACTCAGGAGGCTAAAAAAGAAAGATGACCTGATACCATCATGTTCAGGCTGCAATGACCATGAATTTTCCACTGTATTCCAGCCCGGGCATCAGAGTCAAAATCCAAGCTAATATATAACTATTTACAATAGTCAGGATTTAGAAAGTTAGGTCTTATAATTATACTCCTATATAATCTTTATTACAATAATCAAAATGACACAGACCTAAAAAAAAAAAAAAGGAAGAAAATATGACATATATAAAAGGATCACTAGAAACATCCTTCCATAAGTTACTCAATAGTATATGGTCATCATGTACCTACAATCTTGGGTAAGATAGAATAGATCAACATTCATGGTAACATAACAATTTATTGTGTGGACAACAAATGTTAATACTTTATAAACAATTCTGTTCATTAAAACAAACAAATTTACATAGCCTAAATAAACCTTCAAATTTCACTGTATGCAAAACCAGATTACAAATATTCAAGCATTTTTGTTCTTCTGATAGTGTGATCCATGTGCAAACAGCTTTCTTCAGTTTTAAAAGGTGAATCTGATTATTTACTAAATGTAAACTTATAATATATACACTTTAAAAGAGTAATTATCTTTGCTCTGATGTCTATGAAAATATTTCTTCATATTATATAAAATTACACTGATGGCTTGTAAGTATTGATAGTATGAACACGCATCAAGATATTAGTGTTCTGGCCTCATTTTCTCATTTGCATGTAAGTAATAAGACAAACGATTTCTAAAATTCTCAATGATTCTTTGTCATCTATTTCCAAAAAAAAAATGTTATCCTGAGCACATTAACAAAATGTTATCCTCATTATATAACAAAATGTTATCCTCATAACAAAAATGTTATCCTCAAAACAAAAATGTTATCCTCATTCTGAACTTACAATAATGCTTAATGTGAGCCACAAAAAAAACTATTCACTTTGATCTTTAAAGGAGTTTACATATCAGTGTTCTTCATCCTCCATGAAAAACATGAGGTGAGTGCTGATGACCTACTATACAAGGACATTTCATAGCTCTAAAGTACCAACAGCTGACCCCATGCCTTTACATAAACACTATTAATGAAGGCATAGCATCATGTGAGTTGAGTTACATCAATATTGTTTGTTTTCTGAAATATCCTGATATTCTGTCAATGCAAAACCAAAATTATACGTAGAATATACTTATGCTTTCCTAAAAAAACAAACAAAAAAAAACATTTTCTAATGCCACTAGATATTTACTTCAACTTGACCTTTCAGTAAATAAACTTCCATATAAATTGCATCTGTAAAGTTTTCAGTCTGAATACCCTAGTATTTCCAGTGGCATATATTTTGAACAAAGGTCAGCCCACATTCCTTAAATTTGTAGATTCCCTACAATGCACAGTCTAATGTCAAATAAACTTTTTGCTGATTAATGTCTTTAGACATGTTTTACATTTGTACATTCAAAAGATCTGTGGTTTGAGTAAAGAGAACAGTACTCTTTACATCTATAAATTTCTCACCATGTCTCTATTGTTTATAACTAGATATATGATTTTCCAGTCATTAGAGATACTGAAAATGTAGAGTACAAATTGTCTGATGTTGAGAAAACTTGGAATAACAGTGAAAAACTTTACCCCATTCTGCCCATCTATAGGGAATCCCTAAATATAGATGCTCATATGTCAACCAAATATTGAATGAGGTTTGAAGGCTTTATCTCATTCCTCTCATTTATATAGTTTCATCTTGGTATGGATTCTCATATGTCCAGCTACTTGTATATGAGAGCAAAGGGCTTACCATGTTTTTCACATCTGTAGTTTCTCTTCAGTATGGATGATTATGTGTCCAGCAAATACGTTGTGAGAGTGAATGGCTATGTCACATTCTGCACATCTGTAGGGATTTTTTCCAGTATCAACGGACTTATGTTCAGTAAATTCTTTATGAGAGCAAAAGACTTTTCCACATTCTTCAAGTTTGTAGAGATTCTCTTCAGTATGCACCTCATATGTATAGCAAATCATTTGAGAAAAAAAGGCTTTGCCACATTCATCATGTTTGTAGGATTTCTCTCCACTATGGATGGTCTTGTGTCCAGCAAATTCTTTGAGTGTGAAAAGGTTTGCCACACTTTTCACATTTGTAAGGTGTGCAATAGTATGGATCTTGACATGTCAAGCAAGTAGTGAATGAGAGTAAAAAGCTTTTCTGCCTATTTCATATTTGTAGGGTTTATCTCCAGCATGGTTGGTCATGTGTCCAGCAAATTAATTGTGAGAGTGAAAGGTTTTGCCATATTCTTTACACTTGTAGGATTTCTCCCCAGTATGGATGGTCTTATGTCCAGCAAATCCTTAATAGAGTGAAAGGCTTTGCCACACTCTTCACATTTGTATGGTTTATCTCCCATATAGATGGTCTTATGTTCAGGAAGTCTTCCATGAGTACAAAAATCTGTGCCACACTTTTCACATTTGTGGAGTTTCTCAACAGTATGGATCTTGCCATGTTGAGCAAGTAGTGAATAAGAGTGAAAAGCTTTTGAATATATTTCACATTTGTAGGGTTTCTCTCCAGTAGGGATTGTCTTATGTCCAGAAAATCCTTTGTGAGAGCAAAAGGCATTTTCACATTCTTCACACTTATGGTTTTTCCCCAGTATGCACCCTGATATATCCAGCATGCTTTGAATGGTAGCAAAAGGCTTGGCCATATTCTTCACATTTGTAGGATTTCTCCCAAGTATGCATGGGCTTATGTCTAGCAAACCCTACATGACAGTAAATGCCCTTGCCACATCTTCACATTAGTAGAATTTCTCCCCAGTATGCATAGTCTTATGTCGAGAAAATCCAGAGTGAACGTGAAAGACCTTGCCACATCCCTCACATTTGTAGGGTTTCTCTGCATTATGGATATGCTGATATACAATAAGACTCGAGTTCTGAAAAAGTTTTTGCCACGTTCTGCACATTTGTAGGGTTTCTCTTCAGTATGGATCACTGTATGTCAACAAAGGTATGAATGACATTTAAAGGCTTTGCTATATTCTGCAGATTTGTGGGGTTTCCTTCCAGTATGGATGGTCTTGTTTACAGCAAATTGCCCTTGAGACCGAAAGGTTATGCCACATACTTCATGTTTGGAGGGTTTCTTTTTAGTATGGATCATAGTATATAGAGTAAGGAGTGAATGAACCACAAAGGCTTTGTCACAAACTTCACAGTTCTAGGGTTTCTCTCCAGTATGGATCACCTTATGTCGAGTAAGGTGTGAATGAGTGTGAAAGGTTTGGCCACATTCTCCACATTTGTAGGGTTTCTGTCCAGTGTGGATCACCTTATGTCGAGTAACATTTAAATGACTATGAAAGACTTTGCCACATTCTTCACGTTTGTATGGTTTCTCTCCAGTATGGATCACCTTATGTCGAGTAAGGTGTGAATGAGTGTGAAAGGCTTTGCCAAAATCTTCACATTTGTAGCATTTCATTCCAGTATGGATCACTGTATGTTGATTAAGAATGGAGTGAGTGTGAAAGACTTTGCCACATTCAGCACATTTATAGGGTTTCTCTCCAGTGTGAATGGTCTTATGTCCAGTAAATTCTCTTTGAAAGCAAAATGCTTTGCCACATTCTTCACATTAGTAGGGTTTCTCTCCAGTATGGATCATTGTATGTTCAGTAAGATATGAACAAATGTGAAAGGCTTTGCCAGATTCTTCACATTTTTAGGGTTTCTCTCCAGTATGGATCATTGTATGTCGAGTAAGGAGTGAATGAGTGTGAAAGGCTTTGCCACATTCTTCACATTTGTAGGGTTTCTCTCTAGTATGAATCATTGTATGTCGAGTAAGGAGTGAACGTATGTGAAAAGTTTTGCCACATTCTTCACATTTGTAGGGTTTCTCTCCAGTATGGGTCATTGTATGTTGAGTAAGATAAGAACGAAAGTAAAAGCCTTTGCCACATTCTTCACATTTGTAGGGTTTATCTCCAGTATGGATCATCATATGTTGAGGAAGATATGAACGAGAGTGAAAGGCTTTGCCGCATTCTTCACATTTGTAGGGTTTCTCTCCAGAATGGATCATTGTATGTTGAGTAAGATTTGAACGAGAGTGAAAGGCTTTGCCACATTCTTCACATTTGTAGCGTTTCACTCCAGTATGGATCACTGTATGTCGAGTAAGATGTGAACGAGAGTTGAAGGCTTTGCCACATTCTGCACATTTGTACGGTTTCTCTCCAGTATGGATCATCGTATGTCGAGTAAGGCGTGCACGAATGTGAAAGGCTTTGTCACATTCTTTACATTTATATGGCTTCTCTCTAGTATGGATCACCTTATGTCGAGTAAGGTTTAAATGACCCTGAAAGGTTTTGCCACATTCTTCACATTTGTAGGGTTTCTCTCCAGTATGGATCACCTTATGTTGAGTAAGGTGTGAATGAGTGTGATAGGCTTTGCCACAATCTTCACATTTGTAGCGTTTCACTCCAGTATGGATCACTCTATGTTGATTAAGAATTGAACGAGTATGAAAGGCTTTGTCACATTCTTCACATTTGTAGGGTTTGTCTCCAGTATGGATCATCATATGTCGAGTAAGGCTTGAACGAATGTGAAAGGCTTTGCCACATTCTTCACATTGGTAGGGTTTCTCTCCAGTATGGATCATTGTATGTTCAGTGAGACAGGAACGAAAGTGAAAGGCTTTGCCACATTCTTCACATTTGTAGGGTTTCTTTCCAGCATGGATCATCACATGTCGACTAAGAAGTGAACGTGTGTTAAAGGTTTTGCCACATTCTTCACATCTGTAGGGTTTCTCTCCAGTATGGATCATCGTATGTCGAGTAAGGTTTGAACGAATGTGAAAGTCTTTGCCACATTCTTCACATTTGTAGGGTTTCTCTCCAGTATGGATTATTGAATGTCGACTAAGATTTGAATGAGAGTAAAAGGCTTTGCCACATTCTTCACACTTGTAGGGTTTCTTTCCAGTATGGATCATCGTATGTCGAGTAAGGAGTGAGCGAGAGTGAAACGCTTTGTCACATTCTTCACATTTATAGGGTTTCTCTCCAGTATGGACCATTGTATGTTCAGTAAGATATGAACGAGAGTGAAAGGCTTTGCCACATTCTTCACATTTGTAGGGTTTCTCTCCAGTATGTGTCATTGTATGTTGAGTAAGGAGTGAAGGAATGTGAAAGGCTTTGCCACATTCTTCACATTTGTAGGGTTTCTCTCCAGTATGGATTATTGAATGTCGAGTAAGATTTGAATGAGAGTAAAAGGCTTTGCCACATTCTTCACACTTGTAGGGTTTCTCTCCAGTATGGATCATCACATGTCGAGTAAGGCGTGAACGAATGTGAAAGGCTTTGCCACATTCTTCACATTTGTACCGTTTCACTGCAGTATGGATCACTGTATGTCGAGTAAGATGTAAATGAGAGTTGAAGGTTTTGCCACTTTCTTCACATTTATAGGGTTTCTCTCCAGTATGGATCACTGTATGTTGAATAAGATGTGAATGAGAATGAAAGGGCTTTTCCACATTCTTCACATTTATTTATTATATATATACATATATATAGGTATATACATTTCTGAGATGGAGTCTCGCTCTGTTACCAAGATTGGAGTGCAGTGGCAACTCCCGGTCATCGCAGCCTTGATCTGCTGGGCTCCGGCGATCCTTCCACCTCAGCCTTTCAAGTAGCTGAAACTACAGGCATGCACTATCATGCCCGGCTAATTGTTTGATTTATTGTAGAGATGAGGTCTTGCCAAGTTGCCCAGGCAGGTCTTGAACCCATGGGCTCAGGCAATCCAATCACCTCAGCCTCTCAAATCACTGGGATTACAGATTGAGCCACCGAGCCCAGCTCATTCTTTACATTTTTAGAGTTTCTCTCCATAATGAATTTTCTGATGTTGTGAATGACATTAGTAATAGCTAAGGGCTTTGACATATTATTCATTTCTGAAGGCTCTCTCTCTCCCCTATGGATTCTTTCAAGTCTATTTATATAGGATTATTTCTTAACAACTTTCCCACATATATTGTGTATATTTTCTCCACTATTTTTTTGATGTTCACTACAATTTGAGGACTGGTTAAAGGTTTTGCCATATTGATGTTTGAAAGCCATTTCGAAAATATGGATACTCTGGTAAATAACAATTTTGGAATATTAATGAAAGACTTTCTTACTCTTGGTACATTTATATTGGTCATTTGCAACTGAGCATTCTATCTGCCCTTCACCTTCATGCACACTTACCCAACATTTTTGTAAGTATAAGTTCTTAAGGACATATTTACCATATTTTCCCTTTGGCACCTTTGCAAGGGAGTCATCTATCCTCTTCTCTGGCAAAAGGCCTTCAGTGTAATGAGAAGTCACAGCTGAAAATTGTGAAAATAAAAATTTATTCCATGTGCTAGACTCAGATGAATATCCTTTGAAAATAAAACATAATATGATACCATGGTAAGGACATGAGCATGATGGCAAGTACAAATCATAGGTTTCCACTCCATCATAAATATGTGTACTTAAGAAAATACTTACCCCAATGCCTGCGTGAAAGCTCAAAAAACATCTAATACTTTGCAGAATCCACATGATAAAATGAGTTACATGGAAGAGAAAGTTTAGTAATTTTGCCACCATAATTTCTCTTCCTTTACAATGCAACATGATGCAATCAGACAGGATGTTCTAACTCTTGAATTCTTCCTCAGGGAATAAACAGAAGAGTGGAGTATGAGTCCACATTTCTGTTCTTTGGGGGTTTATGAACAGACTGGTTTCTGTTGCAACATACAGAGAAGACACATCCTAAAAACAGATATGAGTCTCCTAGAATCTCTAACTTAGTGATTGTTGTTATATTAATCTAGACAAAGCAACATCATAAACATTATGATGTGTATATCTATGAATTTCAAATACCCCAGTTCAAACAAATTATGTCAAAGCATAGAAAGAATCAGGATAAATGACTCAATTAAGGGTACAACAATAATTTGTGGAGCTACAAGTTACAAAACAGTTTGAGAAATTTCTTATGAAATGTAGAAAGCCTTAGGTGAGTCACAACACTACTGCCTGGGTGACAGAGAACATGCTGATAAAATATAACCATAAAAAGGATTTGTAAAACATCCTTGATATGGATATTGGTCTCAGTAATAACTTTTTTTATGACTACAGGTATAAAAATAAATACAAACAAGTTGGAGACATCAAACTGAAAAGTTTCTGCAGAGTAAAAGGAAGTGGACAAGCCTTACAGGACAAGAAAAAATTCTGCAAACCATATACTTGATGAGATGTTAAAGAAAGAAAATGATAATCACTTGAATAAAATCAGCCCCAAAATGAATAGCTATTTTCCAATGAGGACACACAAATTGCCAACAGGTATATGAATTGTCACTGAACATCACTAATAGAGGCAATTTCAAATAAACACAATGATGATATATTGTCTCACAGCTGTTAGAATGGCTAATATCAACCAGAAGAGAGAGAGAAAACTTTTGATAAAGATGTGAAGAAAAAGAAATCCTGTATACTTTTGGTGAGCTTAAACTTGGTAGAGTCACATAAAAGGCATTATCAACATTCTTTTAAAAATAAAAACAAACTGCCACATACCACAGAAATCCCTTCCTGGGTATATAACTAAAGGAAATTAAATCAGTACCAAAAAGAAGTATCCAACCCCTATGGGCATTGCGGCATTTGTCAAGATGACGAAGCTTGAAAACAACCTAAATATTTGTGGAATCTATGTTGATTAAGAAAATAATGTGTACACACACACACACACACACACACAAACACACACACACACACACACGTATATATGCACAATAGCATATGATTCAGCCAAAATAATTTTTAAACAATTCTGCAATTTTAACCTTATGGATGACATTGTAAGACATGCTAACTGAAGTGAGCCAGGCACACACACACACAAATACTGAGTGAGAATGGTTATAGTCATTCAAGTCTGTAAACCGATCATATTGGGAAATTGAGGTGAGAGGATTGCCTGAGCTCAGGGGTTCTAGACCAGTCCAAGCACCAAGGTGAGAAAAACACAAAAATAAGCTTAGCATGGCAGCATACACTTGTAGTTCCATTTGCTTGAAAGGCTGATATGGAAGGATCGCCTGAGACCAGCAATGAGGCTGTGGTGGTCATTACATGCCACTGCATTCTATCCTGGAGTGAGACTCCAACTCGGGAAAAAAAAAATCCTGCATGATCTCACTCCTGTGGAATCAAAAAACTTTGCACTCATAGAGGAAGAAAATACAACGTGGTCACTAGGGCCTGCAGGTGGGAAAATGGAAATGCTCTCCAATGGTTACAAAATCTGAGTTATAACTGAGTCTTAGGGAACTATTGTGTACCATAGTAACTTATTGTTAGTAATGGTTAGAAAATTTGCTAAAATAGAAGACATTATGTGTTCTCCTTACAAAACATAAACATGGCAACTACGTAAGATGGTTGATATGTTCATTAATATAATGGTAATCATTTCACACTGTATAGGCATATTAAATTATTATATTATTTATAAAACATGGTTATTCATTTTTATTTATGTATAAAAATCAGATGGTAATCACATATAAACATGCATACGTATGTGTTTGAATATATGCAAATATGAAGCAAGTCCTAAGCTTCATAAAAAAGAAAATTAGAAAATAAGATTAAGACACAAGGTAAAAGGTAGGAATTTAATGTATGTTTAACAACCTTCTACATGACATAATACACTTCAATATTTGAATATAAAGAAAAAATTACCAGTCTCAAATCATACTATAAAAGTAAAATTTAAATGAAATATCAGTATTTCTTCTATTAAGAGAGAAAATTTAGCTGGGCTCGGTGGCTCAGCCTGTAATCCTGCACCTTTGGGAGGCTGAGGTGAGTGGATTGCCTGAGCCCGCGGGTTCGAGACCCACCTGGGCAGTGAGACCTCATCTCTACAATAAATCAAAAAATTAGCCGGGCGTGGTAGCGCATGCCTGTAATTCCGGCTACTTGGAAGGCTGAGGTGGAAGGATTGCTGGAGCCCAGCAGGTTGAGGCTGCGGTGGCTGGGAGCGGCCACTGCACTCCAGTCTGAGTGACAGAGTGAGACTCCAACTAAAAAAAAAAAAAAAAGAGAAAATTTGTATTTGGGTAGGACCATTGAGTATGACTTTAAATAAAATCATTGGAAATCTCCCTAGTAGAGAAAATCATATATTAGAAAACATGTAACATGTGTCCGGAGTGTTCTTAAAATTTCTCAAACAGATAACAAAATCATTGCTCATATACTTCCAACCATGATACCAAGAGAAAATACAAAAAATACTTTGACATGGATTTCCAAATAGATAAGCAAATACTTGCACATCTCCAAAGCATCAGAAAGGTTGTCAGATCATGGAATTTCTAACAAAACATTAAGTGGATTTTGATCTCCTGTGTAAACTTGAAAGATCATTGAAGAAGCAGAGTTTTTGGAGAATTTCAGAACATGGAATAACAGATATCCCTTTGTGACAGGAAGAGAAAGAATCCCAGGCTTCTCAGAAACCATTTCCATTGGAGCAGACCACTTTCCCAAACCACATTTCAAGCTCTGATTCCTTGACCTGTATCATCTGCTTCATTCACTCCCTCTTACCTGGAATTTTGGCTAATGTGCCATGTCTCTTCATATCCCAGGGCTCTTTCCTTTGCTCCAGACATGTAATAAGGTCTGGCTTAGAGACAGCAAGTCCTGTTTAATTAGAAAAAAGTAACATGACTCTTGCTGGGGTTCTTAGATTACAAACCTAGTATTTGATCAGTAGAGAACACATTATACAAGATTCTAGATAATTAACCCCAAAATACGGTTTCCCAATAAAACCTTTAGAACATTTAGATAAAAATTTTTAATTTATGGGTTTCTTTTTATTCTAAGTTAGAGTCTCACTCTGTCACCCAGGCTGGAGTGCAGTGGAAAGCTCATACCCACCCCAGTGCTCATCTGTTGGGCTCAGGTACTTCACCCTCAGCCTATCAAATAACCAGAACTACAGGTGTGCGTAACCAATCCCAGGCAATTTTTTGATTTAGTGTAGAGATGGGGTCTTCCCAAGTTGCCCAGGTTATTCTTAACCCCACAGGCTCTGGCAGTCCTCTCAACTCAGCATCCTAATGTGCCAGCATTACACAGCTTAACCAACATGACTGGCCTTAAATTTTTGAGTTATTTGTTCAGTACTCTGAGTCAATAACTTATGGCAGCAACAGGAAGGAGATGTGGGCAATGATATCTATGCCACCAAATTTCTGAGCTTACCAATAATATAGCTAGAAGGACAATGGTCAATTTAAAATAGTGAAGGCAGTTGAGCTCGGTGGCTCAGCCTGTAATCCCGAGCCTTTGGGAGGCTGAGGTGAGTGGATTGCCTGAGCCCATGGGATTGAGACCCACCTGGGCAGTGAGACCTCATCTCTACAATAAATCAAAAAATTAGCTGGGTGTGGTAGCGCATGCCTGTAGTTCTGGCTACTAGGAAGATTGAGGGGGAAGGATCACCGGAGCCCAGCAGGCAAGACTGCAGTGGCCAGAAGCAGCCACTGCACTCCAGTCTGGGTGACTGAGTGAGACTCTAACTCAAAAAAAAAAAAAAAATGAAGACTTCATGTCAAAATGAAGCATCATTAATTTTTTATTTTCTATGTTAACATATTACCAACTTTGGTTGATAGTAGGAATCTGAAACTCATTTATGCAAAGCAGAAATTCCCAGAAAACATTCTACAAAGGAAGGGCTTAAAATCCTTAGTATGAAATAGGGATTGTGTTTTAAAAGTTTCCTCACCTAGAAAAACCAGATTTCTATGGTTCTCTAACATCACAGTCCTGTACAATGTTCGCTGAGGGGAGTTTAGGCATGCCCACTCCTCTGGAGAGAATTCTATGGCCACATCCTTGAATGACAACAACCCCTGAAAACAACAAAAAACACATATTTACCAAGTCACCATGGCCTCTAGGTAAAGCAAGTGTGAAAACAGGCTCCAGTTGACAACTATTATTACGCAATAAAAAAATTCGTAACACAGAAATATCCTCTAATACAGGGGTCCTCAAACTTTTAAAACAGGGGGCCAGTTCACTGTCCCTCAGACCATTGGAGGGATGGACTATAGTTTTAAAAAAAAAGAACAGTGAACTGGCCCCCTGTTTTAAAAGTTTGAGGACCTCTACTCTAATGAATTAAGTGTGGAAATAAAGGATGAAATAAAGTCCATTCAGCCAGTGTAGACTCTTTATTTTTGTGAAAAAGCATAAAATGTACACCAACACAGGCACATACATTTAAAATTACTGTTAATATCACACAGAATACATTACATATACTGCTCCTAGTAAGTCAGAAGATCCTCTTCAAGTTTTAATTTGTACAACAATGAATTGATTATCTTGTTGAAATGCAAATTCCGATTGAGAATACATGGATTTAGCCTGAGATTCTGTGCTTTTTTGTTCAGTTGGTGTGTCTCATTCTTTTTTGTTGTTGTTGGAGTCTCACTCTGTCACCCAGACTGAAGTGCAGTGGCCATTTCCAGACACCGCAGCCTCTACCTGCTGGGCTCTGGTGATCCTTGTGCCTCAGCCTTCCAAGTAGCTGGAACTACGGGTGTGCACTACTACACCTGGCTAGGTGTGTCTCTTTCTGAACCAGGCTAGAGTGCCCTGGCATAATCACACCTTGCTGCAGTCTCAATCTCCTGAGCTAAAAGAATCCATCCTCCATAGCATCCCAAGTATTTGGGACAAATTGCTATCAGATGTCCAGTCACACAGGTGGAACACAACATCCATGCTGAGATCTTTTATCCAAAAGTAATAGTAATTTATTATTACTTTTTGAGTTGGAGTCTCACTCTTCTTGCCCAGGCTGGAGTGCAGTGGTATGCTCATGGCCACTGCAGCCGCGACCTGCTGGACTTAGGTAATCCTTCTGCCCCAGCCTTCCAAGTATCTAGAACTACAGAGACATGCAATCATGCCTGGGTAGTTTTTGTAATTTACTGTGGAGACAAGGTCTCACCAAATGCCCAAACTGTTCTCAAAACACAGGCTCAGGCAAGTGTGTTGCCTCAGCCTCCCAAAGTGCTGGGATTACAGGTGATTTCACCACACCCATCCAATATAATAATTTATAATCTCAATTTAATAACAAGTAAGCTCATGTTACACAGAAATCAGCCTACAGGTAACCCCATGGCATGTAATATCTGAAAGTATATTTATATTTTTATTTTTTGGCATCCTAGAGAGCAAGTCTTTTCTAATTATTCTTTATTCAGACTTTCTGGAGTTATTTTGGGCAGTAACTGCCATCCTGTTTAAATGTACATTTTATTAACTGTGTTCTGCATGGAGCAGATGGAGCACATAGAAGACCTTAAGAGTACATGTTCTGGGTAGGAGCAGAGGCTCATGCTTATAATCCCAGCACGTTGTGAGGCCATGGCAAAAGAATTTCCTGAACACTTGGGTGTGAGACCAGCCTGGGCAACTTGGCAAGACCTCATCTCTACAATAAATTAAAAAAATTAACTGGGCTTTGGTGGCCATGAGTGTGCCAGTGCATGTCATGCTGGAAATCAGAGGAAGACTACATACACATGTTTCTATCCTTCATTAGGATCTGCAGATCTACCCAATTTCCAATGGGATTCTTGGGTACCATGCCTTCCCATGTCCTCCAGTAACAAGGGATCATTTATAAAATGCAGGTCATACATTCATGGTGAGAACAGTTTATGACAACTAAGCAATATGGTTGAATAGAACAGAAGAAGCTATGTAGGAGCAGTGTCTGACAGACCCATTGAATATCACAGGAAGAACAAAAATAGTTGAAACAAACTCATTAGGCAGGACCATCACAAGGACAGCAGCATGGTTTGCAAGTTTTACACACATGACATTCCTTGTGATCTGGGACAAATTTATTTACCTGAGACGCATCTTTTTCTCTTTTTCCTCCTACTTCTCTGGTATTTCTTCTCAGGTGAGATTATGTAATCAAGTTACACCTATATTTTGAAAATATGCCTTTACTTATTTCAAAATTAAATGGAATGTATTTATTTTTTGTCAGTATTATCATCCTCTTTGGAGACCCTTGCTTGCTCTCCTGTTTGCCTGAAGTTGTCTGATTTAATTCTTCCACATCTCCCTGAGGTGGGTCTACTTTGTCATTTAGGACAGTTTTCCTTCTTTACAAATGCAAGATAATCCAAAGGACAGACATCAATTCTGCCTTTGCCCTTCAAGAACAGTGATGTGTCTACAAGTGCACAGAAACCAGCCGTCGAATTAAAATAAATTTTTTTAAGTTACTAATTAAAAAATATAAAACTTAGACCTAATCAATCCAAAATGGGACAGTCAACTCTCAAATGTTTGACATAACTCCATTTTTGACTGCGGTGGGGGGGAGATCTCTGGCCTTTTTGTATGTTTGAATGTAGCTAAAATACTTTTGAAATGCTGACAAGGTTGGCACCAGTGTGCATCTGTCCAGACTAACTCTGCGAAAGTGGGAGTATGTACACTAACTCTGCTTTGTTTAATAAAGAAACAAGGAGACTGTGAACCAAGGACAAAGATAATTCACCACTTTCCAAGACCCCTCTCATCACCCAGACATCTACAAGTCTAAGCCACCTCTTGATCTTAGCCGCTCTCTGTCCCATAGCCTGGATAAAAATTTTGAAAAAGCACACATGACCCAAGAGGGGTCTTTAGGATGCCGTCCCCTCATTTCTTTGATTTCAGTGTCCCTACTAAATAACGTCACAACCCGTGCTCCAACTCCTTATGTCAACAGAACTGGACTTGGACCTGGTGACACAAATGCCAAATGACACTAATGACAGACCCTGGAAATTTCCACCCAGATAATTCAGATAAGGTCACTGCAGGACTGTCACCCAACAGCCCTTGCCCATCCCGGCTTCCCCTTGGCCCTTCCCATACCCTTTTCTCCCTGGTCCTCCGGGATCCCCACACCACGAGTCCTAGCTGGAGTTTCTAGACTCAAGAACCGCTGTTGGCCAAGTGGCCTCTGGAACGTTGTGATGGAGCCACCGTTTAACACTGGGGAGGAGAGAGGGAGTGGGCCAGGATCGTAGCCTCCCTTTCCCCACCCCAGCCCCCAATGCAGGTCGGATGCTTTCCACAGCCCTCGTGGGTTCGGCACAGTTGGAGATGGTTAGCTGCACGAAGAGTGCTCAGCAGGTGATGTCGCTGCTGGGACACGACCACAGGGTCACGGCCCAGGCCCACCTACACTGAAGAGACCAGGTCGAGTTGCCGGTGGGGATGGGTCCAGGCACAGAGCTGATGGAGATGCCAGTCCCTAAAGAGCCAGGTCATGCGGGTTCATCCCCACTCCCCGTCTCTGGTAATCTCCCGGCACACTCACCACCTCCCACCTTCCGAGGGTCTCGGCGTCCATCCTATGAATCTCCCAGGACCTGCATGTCACAAGGAAACACAGGCTGCAATGAAGAAACACGAGGCTGACGGAGGAAACTAAGGCCCTGTAAGAGCCCAGAAGTTGCCCTCTCACTTCCAGCTCCTGTCTGATTGGCCACTTCAAACCCCAGCATCAGTTGATTGGATAAAACTCCAGGCCATCTGGTCTTGAGTGACAAGACATGTGATCAGACGCGGGCTGCATGAGGCAAGAAAATTTTGAGATTTCTCCCAGCTCCAGAATGTGGTAGGAACTTGTGAGGGTGGCCCCTTACAGGAATTGCGGGAACACTGGTGTCTGCATGACTCCCAGTTGGTGGGTTGCGGAGCTGTAGGACTACAATCCCAGCATGTCCTGGGAGAGGCGGTGTCAAGCTAAAGTCCAGCGACCCACCAACAAGGAGTTACAAAAACTCCCACCATGGCCCAAAGGGGGCCGCAAGCCTCCTCCCCCCACCCTTCTGCCCACACTCTGGGACAAGATGTCTAAAGGCATTTTTGCCTATGGAGTCCTTATTGTTTTGCACTTCCTGTCAGTCAAGACCAGAAGGGTGATGGTTTTTCCAATCAATGGATGCTGAGGCCTGAACTGGTCAATCAGATGGGAGCTGGAAGTGAGGGCGGTTTGGGGGACTTTGTCTCCTGCGCCTGCACAGAGTTGGGTAATTCTTTCTGCAGTGTCCTGTACTCTGGCACCCACGTGTGTCTTCGCTTCAACTTTGTTGTCCTGTGATCTGCAGGATGTAGAAGCCCTTGGTGAGGCTGCCGGGACATTAGGAAGCTGGGAGAAGGTGAGTATGCCGGGGGTGTCACAAGAGGGGAAGTGGATGGACTTGGATGACCCGGCTGTGCTGGGACCAGCCTCCCCTCAGCTGACAGTGAACACGTCCCCACCAGCAGCTGTGCCTGGTACCCTCGGTGTAGGTGAGGCTAGGCTGGGACCCAGGGGACTTGTCCCATCCACGACCTCAAGCTAAGCCCTCTGTGAACAACCCCTCTTTCAAAGTGTTTGGGACCCAAAAGAGTAGTGGGGAGGATTCCACTGGCTGGCAGGGCCAATGGAAAGAGGGTCTGGGGTACTATTCCAACTCCCTCCTTTCTCTAACCCAAGGTTACATCACAACATTGAGGAAAAAATTTCTGTCTTTATAGCTCTGGAGATCAATACATTTCCACCAGAAAGTGTGATAGATTAATTGTTGAGTTTCACAGGTGCATGAAATTATCCATTACATTTGTTTTTTGAGTGAATCTCACTCTGTCATCCGGGCATGAGTGCAGTGGCACACACACGGCCAACCCATCATCAACCTGCAGGGTTCTGGTGATCCTTCCGCCTCAGTCTTTCTTTCTTTCCTTTTTTTTTTTTTTTTTTTGAGTTGTAGTCTCACTCTGGTGCCTAGACTGGAGTGTAGTAGCCTCTCCCAACCACCGCAGCCTCGACCTGCTGGGCTCCGGCAATCCTTCCGCCTCAGCCTTCCAAGTAGCTGGAACTACAGGCATGCGCTACCACGCCCGGTTGATTTTTTGATTTATTGTAGAGTTGAGGTCTCGCCAAGTTACCCAGGTGGGTCTTGAACCCGCGGGCTCAAGCAATCCACACACCTCAGCCTCCCCAAAGGTGCGGAATTACAGACTGAGCCACCAAGCCTGGCTGCCTCAGTCTTTCAAGTAGCTAGAACTACAGGCAGATGCTACCACACCCAGCTAATTTTTTTTTATTTATTGTAAAGAGGAGGTCTCGTCAAGGTGCCTGAATTGGTCCTGAACATGCGGGCTCAGATGATCCACTCGCCACGACCTCCCAAGCCTACCGATAATACTTTCAGTAAATTATTTTTTAATGCTGAGTTCAGTAATAAGAATATAACTCTCCATGGACAAGAATGAATTTAGCCATATGGATTGGCTCCAGTTTCCTTTTACTTGGGTAAATAATGAGGAGTAGGTCTGGAAAAACACACTAGTAGATAACTGGTTTACTACCATATTACAAAGCCACTAGAAAAAAACAGATCAAGTGGTCAATATCCGTATACCTCAGAAACTTCCAGCTCTTGTAAAAGAGTAAATGCTTGAATCAGCACCATGTGGTCCATACAAAGAAGGCAGGTGTCCATGGTACCTGATTTTTTGTTGTTGTGAGTTCTGATGTTACTGCTTAAGAGAACATTCACAGACAGAATTACTTTCATTATCATTTCTGCTGGGTTGTCATTGTTAAAAATAACCATATAGATTTTCTTTGTTGTGCCCAGGATGGAGTGCAGTGGGACACTCACAGTTACTGCAGCCTTGACCTGTTGGCCACAGGCAATACTTCCACGTCAAACTTCAGGCATGTGCCACAATGATCAGCTAATTGCTTGATTTATTGCTGAAATGAGGTCTTGCCAAGTTGGCCAGGCTCGTCTGGAACCCCGGGGCTCAGGCAATCCTCTTATCTCATCTCCCAAACTACTGGAATTATAGGTGTGAGCAATTGTGCCCAGCTATTCCCCTATGTGATTCTAACATGGTGACATTGTCAAGTTGAGGGTTGCTAGGTATGTTCATGAAAGTTGAATTCAGAAGGGAGATCACCTGTCCTGATCTGCTTGGGTTAGGTCAGGCAGGTAAGCCAGTGGGGCCATATATTTATTGCTGTAGGAGAAATTGCCAGTGTTTCTGGCAAGGGAGGGCACTTGTGGAAAGGAAAGAAGTAACTCACACTTTGCACTCCTTGCAGGAGCTCACTGTTTTTGAATCTGTCTCCTGTGACAAAACACAGAAAAAAAGTAGCCTTTATCACCCTTTCTGGACCCTCCTGCTTGTGGGTGTGGTGGTAGCAAGGAAATGATTATACTTATGTGAAAGGAATATGCTGGCTGCACATAATAATTATGCCAGGAATCCTATCACTTAGGGAGGCTGTGGTGAGAATATTGCTTGAGGTCAGAAGTTTGAGTCCAACCTCTACAACATAACATATTCATGTCACTATAAAAAATAATTAAAGAAAAATTAGACAGGAATATTAGCAAAGCCCTGTAGTTTCAGCTACTTTGGAGGATGAGACAGAAGGATTGCCTGAGCCCACGAGTTCAAGGCTGTGGTAATGACGATGCAACTTCACTCCTACCTGGGTGACAGAGTGAGACGCTAACAAAAAATAAATATGTTCAATTTAATTTAAAAATAAATAAAGGCATATTTTCAACATGTAGGTGTGACTTGTCTAGATCATTTCACCTGAAATGAAATCCCAGAGGGTCAGGCTGCATGCATCTGGCTGTATTCTGAGCATTTTGGGAGGCCATGGAGAGAGGACTGCCCGAGCCCACAGGTTTGAACCAGCCCAGCCAACTTGGCAAGACCTCTTCTCTACAATACATTAAAAATTGGCCAAGTGTAGCTTAGTCTACAGTTATGGTTACTTGGAAGACTGAGGCAGAAGGATTGCCTGAGCCCAGTAGGTCATTTTTGGGGTGGCTGTGAGCATGCCACTGCACTCCAACCTGGGCAAGTGAGACCTCTGACTCAAAAAAAAAAGAAAAAATGTCAGAGAAGCTGGAGGAAAAGGAAAAAAATACCTGGTTCTCAGATAAATGTGTACCAAGTCAGAAGGAATGTCAATTTTAAAACTTGTAAACTACACTGCTACTTGTGATGGTCTTGCCTAATGAGTATTTTTCCATTTTTTTTGTTCTTCTGGATATTCAAGGGCTTTGAAGGACATGTCTTCCTACATACTAGAGGCTCCATTGTTCTCAGCATCCATGTTGCCTAGTTGCTATAAACTGCTCTCACCATGATTGTATGGCCTGCAGTATTAAAAATGTTTCCTTGTGCTTGGGGAACATGGCAATGTGTGGATATCCAAGCTTCCCATTGGAAATGGGGTGGATCCTCAGATACAAGCAAAGGATGGGACTGTGAACGATTAAGATTTCACATGATGCCGGGCTCAGTGTCTCAGCCTGTAATCCCAGTGCTTTGGGAGGCCGAGGTGAGTGGATTGCCAGAGCCCATGTGTTTGAGACAGGCCTGGGCAACTTGGTGAGAACACATCTATACAATAAATCAAAAAATTAGCCGGGCATGGTAGCATGTGCCTGTAGTTCCAGCTACTTGGAAGGCTGAGGCAGAATGATCACCGGACCCGAGCAGGTCGAGGCTGCAGTGACTGGGAGCGGCCACTGCACTCCAATCTGGGTGACAGAGTGAGACTCCAATGCAAAAAAAATAAATAAATAAAAATAAATTAAATTAAAAAAAGAAAAGATTTCACATGATGCTCCATCAGCTCCATGGAGAACACTGTTAATAGCAAGCACATTTACACAGGATGGCAGTTACTGCCCAGAACAACACAAAAATGACTAAATAAAGAAATATTAAGCTGGGCTCAGTGGCTCAGCCTGTAATCCCATGCCTTGGGAGGCCGAAGTGAGTGGATTGCCTGAGCCTGCGGGTTTGAGACCTGCCTGGGCAACTTGGTGAGACCTCATCTCTACAAGAACTCAAAAATTAGCCAGGTGTGGTAGCACGTGCCTGTAGTTCCAGCTACTTGGAAGGCTGAGGCGGAAGGATGGCCAGAGCCCAGCAGGTCAAGGCTGCAGCCACTGCACTCCAGTCGGTGACATAGTGAGACTCAAACTCAAAAAAAAAAAAAGAAAAAAGAATTATTAGAAGCGAGTTGCTCTTCCAGATGCTAAAAACAAACAATGTAAGTACAGATTTTAAGATTACACACCATGGGAGATTTCTGTACATGGATTTCTGCCTAAGACCTGTTTATTATTAGATTGACGTTAAAATTTACTATTTCAGGTGTCTATAAATCTCAGCATGGATATTGTGTTGCACTTGTGTGCATTGGCACCTGATACAAATTTGTCCCAGCAGGCTTCAGGCCAGGAGATTGAGGCTGCAGTAAGCTGTGAATATGCCACTGCACCCCACCATGGGTAAGAGAATGAGATCCTCCTAACAAAAAAA